CAATGGGATAAATGTCTCAATGTTCATGGAGACTACCTTTAAATAAAGTACTCTGTTTGTCATATATTCGCATTGGCTCACTTTCATTTGACTCACCCTTATATTTATCTTTTCTACTGTTCTCAAAGCCAGCGACTTATTCTAAGTAATAATAATAATTATTATTTCCCCTGCTTCACCTTTCAATGGGCACTACAGGTCAGTCATACCATCCTGATCGTTGCACCAGCAACCTTTTTTTGGTTGTTTATCTTTTTAACTTTATTATTAATTTAAACAAGTTAACATTTTTGTATCCTCATTTGTTGGGTGCTCCAATTTACATTATTTTTGAGGTTAGTAGAAAATTTTAACAAAATGAAGTTAGTATGAAATATATGCATATTTACAAAATTAGAAGAGATGTGCAGCCTTTACACTTCAAGTATTTAAAAGCCTGGTTGGTTGCTACGATTGCGTGGCATCTTGTTGAAGTAGTGTGGATTTTAGAATTTTGCAGATTTCAGGTTATTAAAAGATAAATAAATAATGTGAGTAAAAAGTATATAAAAGCAGTATTTTTTTACTCTTAAAATGTAATTTATATAAAAAGAAAATAAAATGCATGTGATTTTTTTTTTAAATCATTTTCAAACATTTGAATGTAGTGTTTGCTTTAAAACTAAGAAGTCCTAGTCCAATTTTCTTCAAGTTGTATAGACATTAATTACATCCTTATAAATCATAAAGTTTCAATGTTCTAAATTTGTTTTTATGCCAATATTTGCAGGAAAATCTTGAGTTTATTTAGAATTTAAACTCTGATGCAGTGAAAAGTACTATTTTTAGTTCTAGTCGATAAAAGTTAAAAATTCCTGTATTTTTCTGATATTAGGCCACAATATTAGAAATATGAATGTTGAAGTAGAAAGTAATCTGAATTATTTGAATAAAATCTTTCACTGAGGCTAATTCTTTTCTTTAACCTCTTGAGATACAAATGAGAGAGGGAAGAAAACATACAAAACAGGATATTTGTCTTTTGAGAGGGGGGAATACATACAAAACAGGATCAAGGCATGGCTGCAGCAGTTAAAGAACCTAATAATATACTGGACAGCATTCACTAAAGAAAGTTTGTGCAGTCTCAGAAACATCAATGTCTACAGTGACATATGAATGAAGTCTCCCAGCCGTCATTGTATGTCGAGGAGTTAAAGAATTTAATGGCAGACCTTTCATTATTTGGTAGTTGTCAAGTCATAAAATCGGTTTGGGCTCTTTTGTCAAATCTTGCAGGAATGACATGTCTGAACAACGGCGAATTAAGATAATACTTTGTTAAGGGAAGCACTGGTCTGTATCAAAACATGTTTTGTTGAATAAGAAATTTTGATGCAGTTTGTACATTAAGGTTGCTATGGTTGTCCTACTTATGCACAGTTTTCTTGTCCTCACTGTTAACAGAACAGTGGCAAAATTCTAATTAACAGCAGTCTTTCTATATTGATATAATACCAGATTGATCTTTAGCTATAATTTCTGGTAAAATGTTTGGCAACAGTTATAAAAGCTATTAATAGAATATCAGCTTGCTTCAAACTTGGCCAAAGAGTCTGTCGCCAAAAAATCCCCAAAGCCATCTGCACTTCTCTGTCAACATCCAAGAGGTTGCATTAACTTAATCATAGCACTATATAATGATTAATCACAGTTACATACAAGAAATTAGTATTCCGTTGTGATATAACTTTATTTCTAGCTTTGATGCGACTGAAATCACAGGCTCACCAGTGGCCGAGCAGTAAAGTCGCTGAACACTGGTAGTTCGGTCCGAGGTTCGAATCCCGCGACCGGACTGGCTGCATGGGCGTTTTCGTGGTTTTCCCCATGTGTAATGTGTATACGAGCCAGTATCCCTTAGAAAGTCCTCCCCTTAGGCAGATAGCCCTCGAAGCTTTGCCATAATCACACACACACGCTACTGAAATCTTTCACATTTATTTCAAAGTTGAGAATTTAATGCACTTAATTTTCTGTTTTAAATTTTTTTAAGTTATTAATTTTAGACTAAAGTAATTTAATAACCTTTGTTTAAGATGAGTGGCAAAGAAAAGTATATTAAAATTGAAAACACTATTAAAAGTTGCCGAAAATGTCGTTGACAGTTTCTTGCAAAGGAAGTTATAGGAAAATATGAATACAGTACAGTGTAGATGTAAATAATTTAAAAAGGAAAAGTAATAGCAGTTAAGTAAAATTAAAAATTTTAACAGAAATATGAAAAAAAATTGTGAGTTGGTTTAAATGTGCTTGTACATGAAAATTGTAAATTAGTGGCAGAATTTTTCGAGAAACAGTTTTAGTTATCTTGGAACATTTAAAGTGGAGAAATTCAGTGGAAGCACAATTTAGAAAAATGTTTCCCTAAACAGTATTCTTAAAATGATTGATCATGATTAATAATAATTTCAGCAAACCACAGAAATGTTTAATTTTGAGAAGAATGCCCCATGCCATCCAGTGATATCCAGTCACTTAAATTTCAATATCAGCATTGCATAATAACTATAGTAACACTTACTGATTTAGAAGGTAATGTAGATGAACTGATTAACAGTTGAATTACAAGGAAAACCAAATGGTGGCGAATAAAACTTACATATCTATGGGAAAAAGTCAAATTGTGAGCAGGGGCATTTTTAAAAAAGATTCTCATACTCTTTTTGGGAGCATAAAATGTAGATCGTACGGGGTATGAGATAGTGAATTCTTGCTATGTCTCGAAAATGACATGCATAACCCTCTCTACCATAACTAACTCTTATACAGTCAAAAGTCGTTAATCCGGACTCGTCGGGACTTCGGCGATTCCGGATTATCGATTTTTCCAGATTATAGATCATCAGTTTAAATCTCGTAAGATGGCATGCACAAATTCTAAAACTAAAAATATGAAACCGTATTTTAGGAGCTAAAGAACAATTATGTATCAAAATTTACAAAAAAAGAAGCTTAATATTTGTTTGTTTACTTTATTAAACATTTCTTTCAATGTAAGTTGTTTCGTTTTATGTGATAATACTTTCTCTTTAATTCTATAAACAGACATAATTTCTCGTTCAGTTAAAAAGCTCCGCTGTTTAAGTCCCGTAATTGCTGTGCCGAGAATACCGACTAACTTGTCAATCGAAATTTTTTCGTTTTCACTAACCTCTCTGTCACCTTCTTCATGTCTTTATCCATTTTTGGCAGCAATTCCACTTTTTGTTTGACGGACATCGAGACATACTTTCGTTTTGTAGATCCTTTGGGGAGCTCCAGAATCGGAAATTGACATAATCGAAAGTTCAAGTTTACTTTTATAAAATTGCTCTTACAGTCTGCAAAAAATAATAAGCTGCATCCAATTCGAAGATTAAGGAATAACGCAATCATCAACATTAACTGAAATAGATAATTGTATAATTTTAGCTTATACCGTCCGTTATACGTTAAACACGCACGCGAAAACGTATTCTGCACTTGCGCACACGCATGTGCGCGTGCGCGTTAAGGTTTTACGCGCAGAAAGTTTTTAGCTTTGAGGTCCAGATTATGGGTGTCCGAATTAACGACTTTTGACTGTACTACAAACTCTTAAATTGTGCTGCTTAAATACTATTTCTGAATTCATTGAGATTTGCATATGCCACATTTAAATTTGCATTCTGGCAGAAAATTGAAATTGGAAGGGAAAGTTTTTTTAAAGTAAAAAATAATTGATTAGTACAAAATAAGGTCTCTGTAACAGTTATATTAAATTAGTTAAATTCTTTCTATTGAAGGATATTTATTACATCGCTTAATTCTATGAAAACAAACATGATCACATTAAGCAGTGCTTATTGTGTTGAAAGATTACATTTCAATATTTACTTAAGAAATTAAAATATTTGTCTTAAGTAACTAAAAATATGCTCAAATGATTTTATTTAAAAAAGTAACTTTTCTCAGATTTATGTCCAGAACATCTAAAATAAATAAATAATAATATGCATTAAAATAATAAATTATTCTCAAGACTTGGTCAAATCAGCAATAAATGTAAAGGAGTCAGAAAATTTAGATTACAGTATTTCTGTCAATATCTCAAACGTCTTGTGTTTACATGTGACTTATTTTTGTTTTTTACATTTTTCCATCGTGATTTTCATGAATCACGAACAGGAGTTTGCTGTGAAATTATTTACATAACAGCCATTTCCATAATTCTGTGAATGCAAAAATGTCTCCATTTTGAGGTAATGTGGTTAGATTTTTTCATTTGCTTTAATGACACAATTTTGAATCATTCTCGGCTTTTGTTCTTGTTTATATTTCGGGTCTTTTAAATTTTCTGCGTTTTTATCACCAAAATCCTTTTTGAAACCAGATTCCTTTATTTTCTTGGGAGGGGGTTAAAGAATTTTAGTTTATTTATTGGAGAGTTTCTCTTTTCTCAAAAGCATTTGATGCTTATTTAGAAAGAAGAAATAATTTGAAATACTGGAACGGACATTGTAATTTTATTCTTTTTAATACCAAAGAGCTATAAAATTTCTATCTAAAGATGCCCACGAGCGGCCTAGCGATAAGATTGCTGAACACTGGTAGTTTGGTCCAAGGTTTGAACCCCATGAAAGGGCTAGCTGCGTGGGCGATTTCTTGCTTTTCTCCACGTGAAACGTGTATACAAACCAGTTTGCCTTAGGATGTCCTCCACAAAGGCATCCCTCCTCTTAGGCCGATAGCCTTTGAGTCTTTAAACCAAACCATCTATCTAACGATATTAACAAATGTAATTTTGAAAAACTGGTTATACATTTCTGGTATCTTCGATATATGATATTAATATTATTATGTTGTTACCATGTGCAAAGTCATTAGGATAAAATTAAGTAAAAAATATTAAAAGCAAATTCTTGCTACATGAATTTTTGAAACATCAGTGGGGAAGAGTGGACATTTGTTACAGTAATAAAAGATATACCAAGAGCAAAGATTGTGTATAAAGTTTTATTCTATGCAATGTGCCTTTACAAATGTATGAAAAACAAATTCCATCGCTGAAAAGCCACATTCTCTGTAATTGCACTCAATATGAACGGCCTTCTTTACAGTTCCAGCCATGAAATAATGAAATCACATTTTCACAAGAAAAAATAACACTCATTTCACCGAGATCATTCATTACATGTTGAATCAGTTTTCATGTTCTTCAGAGTAACTGAAGTAAAAAATATGCAATGCATTTCTTTGCACTGAAAATTTTGCAAAGATTTTTTTATGAATACATTTTACAGTGTGGTCTCAATTAAAATAGTTTAATAATAAAACCAATTTTTATAAGTGTGATTGCAAAAGGAAAGTTAGCCTGGCCGAAGATACGTCAGTAGTTGCAATGATAATTATTGATTTCCTGTATATTTTATTATCTGATCGATAAATATTTTAATACCTACAAGTTGTTTGCAAATGATAGAGGCACTCTTAATATCACAACTCTCTTTGATATTGTGACTCGATAACTGTCCAATCAATAATCCAATGGACTTGAGTCTGGTAATCACGGCTGTCATTTCGTTATTTTACATATCATTTCCTTACACACTTTCCACATGTCATTTAACTTTCATTTTAGTTATCTACATGCATTGAGCATTTTAGTACAATATGTAATAACTTGCATATTATCTTCTGTAATATTTTTTCCATTAACATACATGTATTACATATTTGTGTAATATAAATGCAATTACATTTCTGCTTTCTCAACACTTGTAAATTTGTATAACGGATTTTTGCATCACTTTACCTTTTCGTGAAGTCCAAGAAAGGAGAGAAAAAATAACCTTTACAAAATGATAACATGGTAATGTTCTTAGTGAAGATTGTTTATTTTTGATTATTGCTGTTTGGGTATTTAAAATTCTGTGTTTCAAATTGTTTATTGTCGCTTATCATTAATGCTCTTATTTTAAATTAAAGGAATAAATGAAAATGTAATTTTTAGATTTTAGAGTATTATGCCACTATGACTAGACTCCTGAACTGGATGTGTATGAAATGATAGCAATTCGACTTAAATAAGCAGATATGCAATTTATTTAATGAGGTAGGAAATATGGTATTTGCAGGTGGGTTATGAAGCAAAAAAACCGAGCTCAACTATTTGAGGAGTCATAAAACAAAGTGAACGCAAAGCACGATGCGAAGGAAATGGATCTAAACATTCATTTTCTCATGAGCATAAAATCAAGAAAAGAAAAGTGCAGGAAACAAGTTGAGACAACCATCCACAAATTAACAAAGAAATTTCCTCTTTCATATGCGGCAGAACCTCAAACAATGAGTGGTAACTCATACAGCATGGAGAAGAAATTCATAACGATTTCAAAAGAGTAAGAAAATTTCAAAGTACACAGAAATAAAGTTTGTTAAAAAAGATGGAAAATTCATCACTTTCGTCTGTCAAAAATATTTTGCACCTTTATTGTAGCTGAAACAATGTATTTCAAAACCAAGGACAACCCAGAAATTTCTATCAGTGGGGAATTGAACATTGTGGTATCTGTATCACCAGGAAAATTTAAACTCTGCATATGATCTGTTTTGTCCTATATTGGTATCTTTAACTTCTTACAGATAATGTGACGGCAGGAAATCTTTGCAAGAAAATGTTGTCAAATCATAACATCGCTGCTTTTATCCCTTAATAAGATAATCTATGAGATGAAACAAAATTCATTCTGATTGAAACTGGTGGGTTCTACAACCCTTTGATGTAATATAATACTCGCGAAGCCAGAAACCAAGAGTCTCTTAGCAGATGAGATGTGGAAATACTACAGGAAAATTGACCTGAAAATCCTTTTCTTGCAGTTTTTTATTTCTTTATCTTCAGAAAGGAAAATTTACGAAAGGTAAGAATAATAAAACGATATGTTAAGTTCAGTTACATGCCAGTAAAGAAACTGTAAATCAATTTTTGAATGAATTCAGTGAAAAAAAATTTTGCCTCATTTAGATTCGTTAGATGCGTAAATATGGCTTATGCTGTGACAAGTAATCGTTTTAATTTTGAAATGTAATTAATTTTTGAAATATTGTGCTATGAAATACTTTTAATAATCAGTAATTGTTTTAATAATTTGAGAATAATTGATTCAGAATATTTTAAAAATGGACGACGTGTTAATAGTCAAATTAGCAAATATGAGAAAGATAATTATTGTCAGTCACTACCACAGCGATACTGTTTTTAAAATAAGTGATGTTTATTGAGACGAGTAAAAATTAACACATTCTGCGTTAACAATATGCCTCGAATGTTACTCGTCGACAAACGTATATAGCCTGCTACGTTCATTGGGATAGCAAAGCATATGTGATGATCCCCTTCATATCTGATTAATCGATTAAATGTTTTAAAGCGAGGTGTGATTTTCTGTGTTGTTTCTCAGGTTAGTTATGTTGGAAAATTTAATTATCCTGACCCTCTTGTTTTCATTAAGAAGAATATGTGCGATATGGAAGTAAAGAAAAATAGCCAATTCTGTCTTTCAAATTGCTGCTTTACTCTTTACACGAACAAAAAATTTTTTTTAATTTTTGTAATTTGTCATCTTTAGATTTTGATTTACTCATATTAAATAAGTTAGCAGTAATAATCGGGAAAAACAAAAAGAAAATGCTTAGTTTTCTATGTGAAAAAAATATTCAGTGCATTGCAGAAAAGTTCCGAATTTGTACATTGTAAGGACATAAGTTTTTTTTTAATATAAAGAAAAAAGGAAAATATTTGCTTATTTATTGCTGTGTGTACTCAGATTTATTAAAAAATATATAATTGCTATTAATTCATTAAAGTATATTTTTAAATCAAGAAAGTGAATCTTGTTAATATGTAATCTGACCATTAATGCAAAGTAGTGTATACAATAGAACATAAATATTTCAATTTTTATCTGTTAAGATTTCAAAAAAATTAACTTTAACTAACTTTTTTGAAGTTCTTTCAAAAACTGTTTCTACGCCGGAAAATCAAGAGGTGTGGGAATAGTCATCTATTAACCCTTTAACTGTCAAGTTATTTTGATGATTTGGGTACACAAATTGTCAAATTTTTTTATTGGAAAAACCAAATGTAGCCGAAATAAACATCTCCCGATATATATTCGGGTATGACAATACGATGCACTCAAAAAAAAAAAAAAAAAAAATTACCCCAAGAAATACTCGGGCGTGACATTTTCGAACACCGGGCATGACAGTTAAAAGGTTAAATTGAATTTAAATAGCTTTGTAGATATGATTCATTTGTTTTGTATGCTCAAGTAATGCATTGCATTTTTTTTGCGTTCATAATGTTTTCTTGCATCTAACGTCCATGTATCCATATAAAACTAAAGTATGTTTGTTACTGATAAAAATGTAACTTCGCATCCTGCGGTGACTCAGTGATTCGCTTTAAAGCCTCCCTTTTTTGTGAGACACTGAAATTGGTTCAACATAGAACCCACACGTGATTTTGTTCGTTTAATAGAATTAATGAAATAAATAAACTGTAAAATGAATCGTACTCTGATGAAAAAATAAAGTATTTGCTTGCATTCTATCTTCGAGTTCACACGATCCAGTTTTTCCGAGTCCTCGACCCAGAATAATGTAAAATGTTTGGAATGTAGAAAAGGAAAAATTTCCTTGATATGCCGAGCACATTATCCACTCTTCATGGAAGATTAAGTTCTATAGTAATACCTCTTCTTTGGTGGTTGTAGCGCTCTTGCTCCCTTAAACAACTGCGAAGGAATCTGTAACAGAACGAGAATTTTCATAAGATGCATTACTCTTTCAATAGAAATTATTCAGATCCCATATGCTGAATGCGCATCTGCTATTTTATGCACTTAGTGTTCATTTAAGAAAGGCAATAATGATAATTAGTCATACTTTATATTAACCATTTAATTTTGTAGTTGCTTTGTGTATTATATAGGTATCACAGAATGTTCACATGCTTTTTGAATAATTTTAATGCAAATTTAATTTTCTTAAAAATACATTTTGACTGGTAACCTTTCCATTTAACTCTCAAGCTGCATCTTGATATTCATAACTAAAGAGAGTTTCTTTTTTTCCGCCTACTTTAGTTATCCTTTTTTTTTTTTAATTTGTCAGCCATTTCTTGGCTGACATGTAGAAAATGCCATTTCCAGCAGTTCTAAATCACAATAATAATTCATTTGTAACAACATATTTTGCTGTAGATGTTGACCCATGGTTCATAGCTTAGTGGAATTAACTTTTTACAGCGTATGGTTAAAGAAATAGGACTTCATTTATAAGTATGAAATTTCATGTTCTAATACATAAAGTTTATCTTAGTATATCATTTGATTCTTTTTAATTTTAGCTTTCCACTTCATAGAAAGCAAGCTGTATTCATAAGCCTTTTATAGAAACTTTATCAGACCCACATGTAATCTATAACTAATGTCTGTTATCTGAAGTGAATATAGACAAGAAACACACATCTGTTCAAATCACATGGAGGGTAAACAGAGGTTAACAAGACTTACTTAGACACTATTTATTAAATTTTTTCGTTTGATTTTTGTGTGCTAATATATGTTATTAAAAATCTGATTGGCTGATAATGGTTGTAATGATCCTCCCTTTTATCTATTAACTAAGTGTGGAGAAACCTAGTGAATTACTAAACGAATAATCGCTTAAGTCCAGAAACAGAAACGTAAAACTCAAGAAGAGTTAATTACCTTTTATTGCTCAAACTAAAGGTGTACAGTCCTTTACGGACTGTACACCTTTAGTTTTAAACAGTCCATTTTTCAGGACATACAACAAAGCCTGCATTTGGGCTTAAACTCAAAAATATAAGAAATCAGAACTTAATTGATGACTAACTAGAGATTTAGACGAAGATAACACAATTTCTAAATAGTTTGCGCCTAATATTAAATTAGCTAGCGAAGCTATAGAGGGCACATAATATCGCCGTGTGTAGTGACAGCTTAGAGAGACGTAGTCAAAAAGAAACGTGTGCTACTCAGGAAATTGAATTCTCTCTTTCGAGGTCGGTGGAATTTCGACTTAAATACTACTCCTTCTCATTAGCATTTAACGTGAATCTTAAATCTCATTCTGGTAATGAATTGTAAACTGAAATTAGAAGAGACGGGAAAGGAGCTTTAACTTAAAAATAACTGTTATAAACCTTACATGGTATTAGATGAAATAATAATACTCTTAAAAATAAAAATGCTGATGTACAGAATTTAGAGAATTGTTATTTAAATTACCTATAATGACATTGCTTTAAAATTTAAAAGATATTTACATCATAAATGAAAATTTTAACACATTTATATCTGCAAATATTAAATATTGAGACAGTTTAATTCTAATCACTTACTTGATATTGGTCACTGCTTAATCTTGATCACAGTCTGAGTATTATTGGTCTCCTGACTTAACTTGCAACCGGACACTGTATAAATGGACACTTCTACAATGGAAATAGAATTATTTTTTGAGTTTTTTGCCTGTTTGAAACAATTAGAAATGCACTTTGCAGTTTGTTAAATGAGATTACTTAAACTGTCCCTTCGAGAATCGCAACAGTATTTATTTTAGTTATGAATCATTCCGTGTTGCTTTAGTTTGTGCTTTCTTTGGATTACTGAAATTTAGGTTATGATGTCTACTTTTCTACTTATTCGATTTTGTCTTTAAAACCTGCTTATTTCATGATGCTGCCTGTTTTCTTAAAGTAATGAAAGTTAATTATATATCTGTACATTAATTCCTGCCTTCTTTTGGCAAGTCTCTGAAGATTTTTATTTGTTAACTTCACAGGGTGTTTAAATTGCACGACTAAGTATCTCTTGAATGGTTGCTTTCAGTTTATGGTTCCAGTTTCAGAAACGAATCGAATAAAGTAAGCCTGTGCATTGTGATCAGTTTGTTTATGCAATATCTTTACTAAACATGAAACTTAAATTTTTAAATGTAGGGAAAAATTTTTTTTTCAAATGTTTTTTATGGTTGAATAAGTAATAACTAATAATAGAAAGACCTACCTTCAAAGCATTAAAATTACCCAAAATATCATTACTACAACTTTTTGACTGTAAAAAGTGCTGACTAGGACAATTACGCATGTTAAATTTTCAATTGGGGTCTCCTGAAAGCCATTATTTTCATAAGAAACATATTAGTTTGTAGAGTCATTAGGTTGATTAGAAGCAGAAAAGATGAAAAATATGCAACCGCTTTCGCCGGGAATCGAACCACGGACCTCTGGAATACCGGCACAGCATGCTACCGTTACACAACGAAGGCACGCTAAGGAAGTGGGGGAAATACTTTATAAGTTCAAAATCTGAAATTCGTGTTTATTATTAAGCGTTTTTATTCTATTTATTTTTCCTTAAATGTGAAATTTTGAAGTTAAATGTATTATTTACACAACAAACATATAAATTCCGAAACATCTTTTTTCAGTGTTGTCTTACAAAATTCTAATGCTATTATTAGGATTTCTTATTCTATCTATTCTCGTTAAATATGAAATTTTTTTATTTTAATTATTAAGTATTTTTTCAATTAATTTTTTGTGCTACAAAGAATGTTGTGTTTATAATTTTTAGGAATCATATAACAGTTTTTTTATAATGTCAGTTGTACATGCAAATTGTTTAATATAGTTAGATCTATGAAAAATTATCTTACGTTCTGGCAGGTCATAGATTTTGGGCGGGAGTTCTTTAAAATAAACATGATGCAAAGCTTCGGTGGCTGATATCCTTTGTCTGGGCTGCAACTAAAAATAAATTACATACATTAATAACATCCTTAAAACTAATATATTTTAACCATTACGGCATGTAGTTCATATTTTTTTACCAGTAAAATTTTATGCTTTTTCCCATTATTTTAAGATATGAAAAGCACTTGTAGATAACATATCATTGTATAAACTGAAGCTACAGAGCATTGCAACTGAGATTCCGATATTGTATAAAAGAGGAGAAATTTAAATTCTAGGGCATAACTCTATTTCAAATTTGATTTCCCCAATTCATTATGACTGTATTAATGCTTTGAGAATGGGTTCGAGCACAGTACGAGTGTAGCTGAGAGAAGACAAGCAACGATCTGTAAGAAACAGACTGGTCAAATCAAAGGATCGCTCCGTATTTGGGTCAGAGTGATACCACTATTCAATGATATTGGTAGAAATAGTTGAATTACAGCAAAGCTTAGCGTCAAAAAGGCAACAGTCAAACTAAGTAGACAGAGCATGAGGGAAAAGTCATTAACAAAGCAGCTGTCACAGTATCTGATTCATCATTATTAACGATTTGACGTGGTGCAAGGACCTTTGAAGGCAATACAGAGAACAAACAGATTGTTCGGCGCTCATTGAGCCGACGAGTCCTCACTTGTATGCATCAAAAAGCATGTTGATAATATTGCTGAGTTCCAACTTAAAATATCAATGAATGAAGTAAATCATCTTCAACGATAAGCTGTGCTTTGAATTGAGCTACTAGCCAAATATGTCCGGAGAGTCCAGAATACCGGCCGAGTACCGAGTTGACTATCGCCAGTCATGCAGCCCGGCAACAAGGAGATGGTATTTCATTGAAACTCAAAAATGTCATCCGATAGTCCCGAATGATGCTTTTGTTGTCATTCGGGACACCCTTGTAGCACGGTAGTTCGCCGATGATATTTTATTGCCCTGCTCTGTTGCTCCTAATTTTAAGGCACCAAGGAATCCATTTAAACAGATAATATAATATCGGTCGCACAATACGATCATATCTACCACCAATAGGCTAGATTGCTATATCTGTCTCTATTAAAGTACATTTGGTGCTCGATGACCAGGGGGTCTTCAAATGTTCCAGGATGGCCAATTTGACTCAAGAATTGTATAGAGTTTCACACGAAATCCTGTAGGAAGTCGCATATTTTATGAGTCAGTGCGAAGTCGGATACAATTGCATAAGGATTAGAAATGGGACAGTATCTAATAAATTTATTTGCTGTATGTAACCTATATTTTCTGAATAAAACATTAAATTCTTTTGAAATTTTAATTGTTTCTTTTTCCATTACATAAACATAACCTGTATTGAGCTACGTCCCATTATGTCATTAAAATGTATGTCTTGAAACAACAAATTTTAGGCTTCCCTGCCTCTTGAACTAAATCAAACTACAGGTCTACTCCCTCTTTGGGCACTTCGTGGAGGTTCAACTTCCACTATTACCCTTCCACGGCAGCAGCGCACCACTGGATTCACCAGGCAGCACGGTCGTCTAATGTTCCTACCAGTGCATGGGCGGCCCGTCGAGTGGCCGTTACCCAGTCAAACGAGGGACCCAGCCCTCCGGCTACGGTTCCACAACGCTCAAGTACTGCCAGTCCCCAAGGCCGCCAATAAATGCCTTCCCGGGGGTTCAGAACACAAGTTCATAATTTTCTCCCCGTGGCCGAGACTGCCTAGGTACAGATCCTAGCCAGTAGCTTCGCAGAGTTCTCTATGTCGACCCCCGGGGGGGTATGTCTTGAAAGAAAAGCATTAGTGTTTGCGACTGCACAATTAGGTTAACTCCGAGAAACTGAAAAATTATATAAGGTTATATAGCCACATAAATGAAATTGAGGTGTGTAGTTTCTTGTAATGAGTCATGTAAATGCATATTTGTTTAAATGGCGAAGAAAACTACTTGCTTCATTTTACTATTCATAAAAATTACTTAAATCTCTTGAAAATCACTGTTAACTCACAGTCAGCACTCTGACCGATATTTTCAGCAATTTAATAGCGTTTATTTTTTCACTGTTAAATTACTCAAAATATCGGTCAGAGTGCAGGCTGTGAGTTAACAGCAATTGTTTATAAATAGAATATTGCCATTCAGTTGAAATAAATGACAGTAACTGACTGTATTCTATTTGCAATTGAGGTATGAATGAAAGTGTAAAATTTACCGAGTCTTATTTCACTTTTATCATTTTAAATACAAAATTGGTGTAATTGCTCATTTAAAATTGTGTGTAAAATTTACTAAGTCATATTTCGCTTTTATCATTTTCACAAATAACTTTTTTCTACTATGACTATCTATTCAGCATCTCATAAGAAATGAACACTGATCAAAATTATAAATTTAACTGCTCATGTTACTTTTTAATTTATAATTTAGAATCTATTGTGCTAATATACAAGAAAGTTTAAATAGAATAGCAATATTTTACTTATCATTATATAAAGTTGAACATAAGATGTTTAGTTCAAAGATGTGTAAAAAATACCAAAAAAAGACTAAAAATCCTTTGAAATCAGCACAGGTGTTATTTTTACATTACTGTTTTATCAGCGTACTAAAAAATAAAATTAATTTGTCTGACCTGTAGAAAACTTTGAGCTAATTTCTCTGCTTGAGGTATTTCTGTAAGCCGAGGGAAGGCGGCAGATAGAGTCTGGGGTGGATAGTGACCGAATTTTTCTGTAAAAATAAAGTTGATTGTAATGAATAAAAAGAATGAGAGATTTCTTTATGAAAACAATTCATATTTTATTCTGAACTTTTCTTACGAGGTCTGTAGTTGGGGAATTCCGTCACACCATCCCACGTTTCTTCCGTTGGTGTACCTAGAACCTAAAAAAAAAAAACACATTCTTTGTTTTCATTCAAATTCTTTTCCATGCAGAGTGGATAGGCAGATAGCCCCCGAGGATTTGACATAATCACATAAACGAAAGCAAACCAAATCAACCCATGTAGTGCAAATGGGGTAGGGACTTTAAATTGTCAATTCTTATTTTGTAACATAATCTTTACAATATTTTCTCAAAAATAATATTTTTTTTTCAAACAATGTAGTTTAATTATTTTCGTACCATTTCTCACATACTAGTATCATAAAATGTGTTTACGTATTTTTATATTCAAATAGTAGATATTTATTTTTTTAATAACAAAACAATTTATGGAAGCAGTTCTAGAAATTCATGTCTGAATTACTTCATTTTTGTTATTACTAAATATATCAACTTTGATGTAAAATATGAAATCGTATATTGTTTACTATCTATCGTCTTCCATGTGTGATTACAAGATAATAAATGATTAGGACTCTTTTTAATACCCTTCGAATATTTGTTAACCAAGAACTACATAAAATTATTAACCACTTAACTGTTACATTTCCCTGCTATATTTTGACCAAAAATAAGGATATTTTTTTCTAAACAATTTTATATTCTAATCAATTACATGAATTCAAATCAGTTTAAAGTTGTGCGTTTATTAATTGAAAATAATTTTTAATTATGGCGAAATTAAGGCATTTTTACTTAAAGTTTGCTTTTTTCTAATGAAACTGCAGAACTAGAAAGAACACTTTACAGGAAATAATAAACTTGAAAGAAGTGAATTCGCTGTGAAAGGAAATCGTGGCGGTGGTGGAGTAGGATTACTAGTATCTATTTCACAAAAGTTCCGAACTTGAATTAGATCATACGAACTTTCCATTTCCTCATCATCACTAGAGAATGCCTACAAATAACTTTCAAGACTACCAGAATCATCTATAGAAAGTTCAGATTTGCTATCTGATCCAATATTTGAATTGTATTTTATTATGAGCCATTCACTCATCCACTAGTTTCACATCACTAGTTCTTTTATTTCATGATAAAATTGAGACGAAATACTATTCACAAAAGCCTAATACACTGAACACCTGCAAACAAACTCATTGAGTCCTTGAACTGGTTTTACAATCCAATTTCTCCTAGACTACTAGAAACATCTATTGGAAACACTGCAAA